GCCACATCTTTTTCCCATGGAGCAGCTCGTGGGTTCGACCACTGACCTTTTGGTTAGTGACCTTTTGGTTAGAAGCCGAATGGTTTAACCACTGTGCCACGAGAGCTCCCTGCCATGGAGAAGGGCGGTCACAGGCTCTGGGAATAGAGTGTAGACGCCCGTGGGGGCCATTTTCGCACATCAGACAGTTTCACTGCATATGGCTCACAACCCACTTGGGAGGTGGGATCCATTATTTACTAGCACAAAGTCTAATTAACAGAGAAAGGATTGATATGCATTACATGTACAACACTACACGTAAACATGGCTTATGTTAGCAAGAACCTTCTAAATGACAATCGAGTGCTTGCAGAGAACCTGAGCCCATGACCTGGCCAAGCACCAGGACCCCTGCAGTCGTGGGGAGGAAGCAGGATCTTGTCCCCTGGCCTGTTTGTAGCTGCCTGTGCTGTTCTCTGTGTCATGTTTATGGTCATGGTCAAAAGCAGAGTTGTCTTCCTAGGGGAGAGCAAACATGTCACAAAAAATAATCCAAGAAAAAAACCACAGAATCCAAGCAGCAGCACAGAGATGAGGAAGTGAGGGAGTCACAGGGCTGCGGGAAAGCAGCATGAAGGGTGTGACGGTGACCTACCGGTTTGCAGCTGCTGTGACTGGCCCCTGGCGCCCCCATGTGTCAGGGTTGAACTGAGCTCCACGGTGTTTCCAACCAGAATCTGAGACCGGGGACTGCCAGTCCCTTCCTCTGAGGTGCCGCTCAGTGGGTCTGAACCACCGGTATCTCGGTTGGTGATCGAGCGTTAACCGTCTGCACACACGCCCTCCCGGGCTCCGTCACGACCCAGTCTGGCAGTACGTTTCAGGCTGAAGCATACGAGGGTCTCCTGCCAGCACCTCCCTGGACAGAAGAGGTTCCTTCCACTTCATTTCAGGTGAGAGGTTGGGGCAGAAGCTCGTCCAGGCAACGGCAGCCCTCCAGAGACGTGTGCGCCTTGAAGGCCAGTCCTTCCCCGGAGCCTTCCTGGACCTGCCCGCCGAGCCCCGCGTCTCACCTCCTCCCAGCTGAGCGTCCTCGGTGCTGCGCTGCAGCCGTGGGCCCAGCCCCTCCCTGTGTCACTCCAGCCCCGCCCCGCCGCTCCCCGAAGCCACCAACGCCTCCCAGAGCTCTACCGAGAGAGTCCAGATGTGAAAGCAGCATGCTGTGACCAGCGTCACAGTCCAGACACATCCGTGGCGCTCACATCCACCGTGACATCCCAGTCCACAGATGCGTCCAAGCCGCTCACGTGCGTGGGGACGTCTGGTCCACAGATGCGTCCGAGCTGCTCATCCGCCAGGACCTGAGTCCCTGGAGACATGTGGCTTCCTGCACCAAAGCCATTTCTAGAACCAAGTGCAGCCCACCTGTCGGCCTCAAGTCCCCAGAACCACTGCCGGCGTGAGCCTGCAGTGTCTGGGTGTCTGCACTTTGAGACGAAGTGACGGGTTAAGGCAAGCCCACCTAGGAGGGTGGACTGGGCCCAGGGGGCAGGGAAGGTGACAGGCACTCAGGTGGGCGGCCGGCTGCTCTGCCACACGCCATCCACAGGGCACCCAGGCCGTCCTAGTTCCTGCTGGGCCACCCGTGCTCGTCCCAAGTCCCGAGCCACCTCTGTGCCCTGGGCCTGCACCGTTGCATCATGCTGACCCTTCCCTACCCTGCTTCCTTGGGACTAGCCCCCAGCTGGCGGCTGCCCCTCACCCACACCTGAGCGTGGAGTGGGGCTGGTGAAGGGACGATGTGCCCCGCTGTGCCTGTAGGGAGGACACAGAGAGCTGCAGAAGTGGGACTGGGGGGTGTTACACCCCCACAGGCCGGGGGACTGGAGGGGTGTGCAGAGGATGTCAGGAGAGGCAGGGGGCTCCGTGCATGGGCCTGACGGACAGCCCCGAGACCCTCCCAGCTCCCAGTGGCCGCTGGGGAATCAGCATCACCGGAGGGCACAGGGGATGGTGAGGGGATCTGGATGTGAACAGAGAACACCCACCGTGGAGTGCGTGTCGAGGCGGGTGCACCACTGGGACCCTTGCCCCGAGGACCCCTGCCGACCCACACAGACGGCCCCTCAGCTCAGTGACTTCTGCCTCCGGAGGGACCTGAGGCCGAGGGCGTCCCGGGTGCCGTGGCTGAGGGAAAGGCACTGACAGCATGGAGGCCGAGCTGCAGTTGCAGCCAAGACCGTGGCCCCAGGCCTGGGCCCACATGACCTCCTGCAATCAGGAAGCAGGGAGCCGTTTGGGATGCCAGTGGCTTGCACCCGTTTTTCGCCCCATTTCTCCCAGGGAGCACGAGAGCAGCTTTTCCAGGTTTCCATGCCTGCTCACTCAGCCACTGTCTAGTCGCCATGGCAACTGTGGGAGCCCGGTCAGTGGGCAGAGCCCGTGGACACAGCCTCTGCAACCTGCAGTGGGCACTCAGATGAGCCCCCTGGACTGACTTCACTGCACAGGTCTGTTTTCGCCGCTTCCCTGCCAGCTGCTGCCACCCCCACACGCTCCAGCCAGCAGCCTTGGCCAGCCTGGACCAGAGGCCCGGCCTCTACGGCACCTCCTGGCCCCAGGCCAGCCCCACTGTGTCCTTCAGACGCTCGGCCCCAACTCATCAACCTGTCGCCACAGGACAACCACCTCAGGGTTTACTGGGAGGCCCATCGCTTGGTAACGGTTTCCCGACAACATGGCCGATTTCACTCGGAATCCCGGTTGAAAGCTTGACCCCCAGTACAGGCCTCACACCACGCACCTCTGCAGGCACACCTCCTCCCATCGGTGTGAAGCCGGACAGGGCGTGTGGGACGGTACAGGCCTCACACCACGCACCTCTGCAGGCACACCTCCTCCCATCGGTGTGAAGCCGGACTGGGCGTGTGGGACGCCTGTGGCCAGCGTGGGGTCTGACCAGTCACGCTGGGCAGTGGACTCTGGCGGTGACAAACCACTGCCAACCACAGAGCACACACGGCCCGCCCAACAGCAGAGCACGCTACGCGGCAAGTGGATCAGAGAGTTTATTTTGAATATTTAATTTAAAAAAATCAGACTAGGAGGTGTGCTACAGAAATTCAGAAACAATAAACAGCATATAAAACCCAAGTCCTGGAGGAGCCGGGTGCGGGGAGAAGTGAGCTTCAGAAGAGAACACTGTGCGTCGGGTCACCAGGTGTCCTGGGCCTGTGACAGGTCGAGGTCTTCCGGGAGACACACACCTGACTTGGCTGACTCACTTACTGGTCAGCCACCTGCCTTCTCAGAAGAGACGTGGTTTCCGCTCAGCGAGGGGTCCGGGCACCCACGAGGAGCCACACAGGAGGGACTTTGGTCCAGCACTAACTCGCTTCCGTTTGCTGTTTTCAGTCAAGGTAATGGAACAGGCTCCCCGGGCCCCAGGCCCCAGGTCCTTCCTGGGAAGGGCTCCTGTCAGCTTATGACAGAGAACCCCAGCCCTCTGTGGCTCAGGGGTCGTTTCTATCACCACAGGTACCAGCCCCCTAGAGGGGGCTGGCAGCCCCGAGTGCCCCTCATCTCCTCACCAAACCCCAGACCTGGAGACAAGCAGGCTGGGGAGGGCACGTGAGGAACTCGGAGAGCCGCCACCCTGGGCATCAGGGTGGGCAGAGGAGAGGGCGGCGAGAAGAGAGGACAGGGTGGCAGGGGGCAGGGGCCTCAACTCATCAATCCAGGGGGTAGGCATGACATCATGAAAAGGCTTCCCGCCGGCCATGAGCACGGGGACACTATCGGACTGCCTCACCAAGTACAATCAACTCGGAAAATGCTGCGCACAAGTCACACTACCTGACCGGCTGTGGTCGGGAAGGTGAGGGTTTAAGGACAGCCCCCCATGACACCTGACTGCTCACCACTTGCCTCAGGAGAGCTCCAGTCCCCTGAACAGCCTCAGGGACAGTCGTTTTGGCAAAACAGAAAGAAAATACCTTGAAGGCATGAAACCCATCACCCGAGGCCCCCAGGTGTGTGATTACGAGTATCAGCAACTATGGTGTAAACGTCTCAAAAGCATCAGCAGAAAGATTCGCTATGAAGGCAACGCATAAGGTCCCCTCCCCGGCAGAGCAGGAGCGGAAAGGCAGGCGCCGCAGCTGGCCCGAGGCCGCGACAGCACCGGGCGGCGGACACGTCTACTGCCGCAGCTCCACGTAGTTGGCCGGGAAGAGCCCGTACCGGCCCTTGCACACGCCGCGCCACCAGCCATCGTCGATCATCTCGATGTTGGTGATGATGTCGTCAGGATCGAAGGAGATCTCGTCATCACCCGCTGGAGAGAGGGCACCAGGAAAGGGACGTTAGGACAGAAGCCAGGCCCCCAAGGCTGCCCCTGGGCGGTGGCTGCCTGCTCCAAGGCTCAGCCCGGGCAGGTGTCCTCCTTCACTAAGCCTCAGGCCCTGTGAACACCCATGGGGTGCTGCCAAGCCTTCTGATGAGCACGCAGACTCCAGCCAGGGTGACTTCTGCAGGAACTGGCTTAGGTCACAAGCCTCCATCCCACCTGCCCTCCCCTCCCCTTCCCAGCAGGGACTGGTCCCCATTCCTGACAGGTGCCCACAGCCTCTGAGGATATGGTGGGTGGTGGGGAGGGGCAGGAAACAAACAGTCAGCACAGTCGAGCAATAAGGAGACATGCTGAGGCCAGGGGAAGCCACGTCCTCACACTGGAGAAAGGAGGTGGAAATACAGGCAGGGCCAGAGTTTCTGCATTAACTCACGGCTTTTAAAAAACAGACATTTCACAGAATCCATGTGCACAGCCCTGATGACACGACAGTTAAGCCAACTGAAAGGCTAGCATATGAACCCACCAAGAGGCTCTGGGGCAAACACCTGCCAATCTGCTCCTGCAAAGATTACAGCCCTGGAGACATTCCACTCTGTCCTCTAGGGGCGCTGTGGGTCAGAATGGACTCCAGGCAGTGGGTGTGGTTTGGGCTTTGCTTCTGTGAAGATTGACAGCCTCGGAGACCCTGGGGGCAGTTCCACTCTGTCCTTTAGGGGCGCTGTGGGTCGGAATCCATTTAGTCCCTTGCACTACCACATGTGCATGTGTAAGTCGGTCGGAGGTGAGGGAAAGCCCCTTGCTGGAGATGGGAGCCCCGATCAGAGGCGGTGGTGGGGACAAGTGGGACAGGTCTCAGCAGACTCTCCCACATCCCTCCACAAAGCACTTACTGCCCCAAGGGAAGCAGTGGGCTTTCTCAGTGGAGAACCTGGTGGAGGGCCCGGGCCGGTGGCCGTGGTGAACATCACTGTCATGTTGAGGAGCAGGCAGACATCGTGTGCCCTGAGGGCCAGCCCCGGGATACCAAGTGGCTCTCCATGGACAGCACAGACAAGACAGTGGCCCCAGGCTTGGCAAGGAATTGACGGAAACAGCCCAAGATGAGAAAGTGGCCATCAGACGGCCGGTCAATGTGCTGCTGAGGGAGGGGACTTTCTGCGTTAGAGGGAGGCGTGGGGTCAAGCTGGGCGCTGTCCTTGTTTCTGGAAGACTCACCCAGGACCACTCACAGGGCTAGGTGTGTCTGCAGCTGCCTGACATTCACAGAGCAATGATGATGTGTGCATTTATGTGTATGTGTATACATACACGTGTGAATTTGTGCACGCGCAACTATACATATGCATGTGAGGCTTATGGGTGTGTGTGGGCACACACGTGTGTGCACAGGTGTACAGGCACGTGTATACATGTCCACAGGTGCCTGTGCAGGTGCAGACGCGTGTGTGGAGATGCTGAGGGACAGAGTCTGGGTGAGGGAAACGCGGGCTTTCCCAGGACCTGTGAAACTCTCCGTAACCCTGAGACGATCTCAGGTTATTTTCTTAAATCGTCATCACTCTGAAGAAGGCCCTAAGACAGGGGCTCTTAGAGAGAGCACAGGGTCGGAGTGCCTGCCGCCCCCGATGCCCACTGCAGGCCGTCTGGGCTGCTTACCCGCCTGGTAGTCGTAGAGGGCGATGGCTGTGATGCCCTGGTCATTTTCATACTCATCGTAGGTGCTTTCCTCTGAGAACGAATGGCACAAAGGTCAGTGATGGCCACGGCCCTGGCCCCTGTGTGGCCACCATGCTGTTTTACATAGCACTCCATGGAGTGTGAGTCCCATCAGAGAATGGCCCAGGGGAGCTGGGCGCCAAGGCTGGCTGGCACCCCGAAAAAAAGCGTGTAAGAGGCCAGCTTTTGGGAACGAGGCTCTGGGTCCCCACCTGACAGCCCAGCAAATCTAGTGCTGTTGAGGGGCTGGGACGGCTCTGAGTCTTAGGGGACCGCTCCCCCTTGTCAGGGAAGGCAAGGTCACGGGGACTGGCTCCTCAGCGACAGCCTGTCCCACTCAGGGCACCCAATGCTTGCCGGCTAGGGTCTCACAAACAGCACGTGCCAGCTGCCGCCAGCACTCACATCACTGCACGTGGGAGGGCACCTGCACCCAGTACATTTCAGCGTACCCAAGGGAGCCTGTCAGAAACACACACGCCGCCGCCGGTGGCCAGGAGGTGCCGCCCTTTCGGGACTCTGAAAGCCATGCACAACTCCACCCACGGAGCCTGGACCCTCTGGGCTTGCGGGCGTGGGGCTGGCCTGTGTCTGTGGCCACAAGCAGCTGCCGGGACCCCTATTCTTCCGATCCCCATCCACGGGCTCCACTGTCCTGCCGAGCAGAGGGGTCCGGCGTGCAGAGCACAGTGGGGGGTAACAGGAGCGCCCCAGCACCTGCTTGGTAGGGCGCCTCGGTGGTCTCGTAGACAGCCTCAGGGGTGTAGACCACGGCCCGCGTGCCACCGGCCTCGCCGTAGTCCTCCACGCCACGCACAGGCTCTGGCTGGGTCCCGGGGCCTTGGGAGCTCGGCTCTGCCCGGAACGGCGCTGCATCCTGGGAGGGAACCAAGCCATTCAGCAGCCTCGCCAGCCTCCAGGAAGAGGCAGCTGGCCTGCCACAGCCGGACACGCAGCCCTCCGGCCCAGCCAGGGCCCCGTGTGGGGGACACGAGGGATGAAATGGCCCGGGCGGCTACCACGCCAACAGGAGGAAGGTCTCCCCGCAGCAGGGCATGGAAGGGGTCACACGGGCCACTGCCACTCCCTGCTCCAGGCCCTACGGTAACCAACCCCAACCCACTCAGGATCCTGCAGTAACACCCTTGTGTCCCGGGCCCTACAGTCACACACCTCCCCGTCCCAGATCCCATGGTGACCCAGGCGGGAAGCACCTACGAGGAGCCCGCCTGCTGCACAGCTCGTTCCTGGGGGCTGAAATCAGTGTTTTGGGCAAAGCTTCACTGGATTTCTCTTCCTGGGTCCGGGACCCCAAGGCACCAGTAGGCTGAGCAGCTGTGCCCACCGCTGACATCACTGCCCTTCCCCACGCCCAGCCCACATACTTGTAACCAATGGTGGCCTTCACCAGCCTTTCTGGCCAGGCCCACATGGACGACCCTCTGTGCCCAGAGGAAAAGGCGGAGCATGGGGCAGAGGCCAACACCTGAACCTCCAGGGGCAGCGTCCCCAAGGACGCCTCACTCCAGAGCAGTACACGGTGAAGTGTCGGGAGAGAGCCTCCAGGGATATCTGTCTCTCACACACAGACACACGCGCGCTCACCCATACCCCAGAGGGACACGGAGCAGACAGTGAAGAGGGACCCCTGGAGTCCCCGTGGGCCTGAACCTGGAAGGTGTTCCTTCTGCACCCCCGGGAAGGTGCCACGTGGAGGGAACCTGGTCGTTAGTGACAGGTCGGAGACATGCTCGCAAATCAGAGGCAACACCCACCTCATACACAGGGCTTGAAGGTGGCCTCTGCGTAGCCAGCGCGGGTGTGGGGGACGCGGGTGCAGGAGATGAGGGCGGCGTCTGCCTTCTGGCTCTGGCTTGCTCCTACCAGTGAAGAACAAGTGACAATCAGGTTCCCGGTCCCTTGAGAAAAGAGAACCTGCCCTTCCCAGGTGTCCACTGCCACAGACAAGCACCCAAGCACGGGCCGTCTGCATAAGAGGTGGCCGCAGAGTCAGGTGTGCTCCCTGGACCCAGGGCCTTGATGGCAAAGGCCGCTGCTGCCAGGTGAGCCTCAGGATGGCACCCCCACCTCTCCCACCTGCCTCGGCCGACAGTGGGAGGTCAGACTGTGAGCTGATGGGATTCAGACGGTCTGCGGATTTTCAGAGCTGACACTGTCATGGGCTGAAACTCTGTGGGATCGTGGACTGAGGGCCCTTGTTTATCATGTCAAGACTGGCATGAATCTTTGGGGCCACAGGGCAGGCTGTGGTGGACAGAGCCCTCAGAACCAGGGAGTCTGTTTTATGTGGCAAAAAGGCCGCTGC